CCCCAAAACCCCAAAACCCCAAAACCCCTTTTATTATCGAGATGCTGAGCTGTAATAATATAACATTAAAAATATGTCAATAGAAAACAAGGAAGAAGATAAATGATTTGCATGCCAGCAGCTCTATCCCAAGACTTATCTTCAGTATATTGACGATAATAGCATCCAGCCACAGATGAAGACTAAAAATAAATCGTCCTCTAACGAGAAAGAGAAATCAGATCCCCGATTCCAAATAAAGTTACCTTTTTGCTATAATTGTATGCCAAACGAAAAAATCAAGTCGATTAACAATAGATGACAAGTCCCTGAGATGTCTGAGGATATCTTTTACAAATCTGCTGATTGGCGCACAGAAACAGGTAAATTTTAATCCCCCTTTTCTTAAATCCTATTAATATTTTTCAAATCACCACAATCTTATACATAACAAAATACTATCCATCACTCATCCTTAACTTTTCCTTTAATCCTAAACCTCGAAAATCTCTCCCAGCAATAAATTTCCCATCAAAAATTCTTCGAAAAATTAGTCATCAAAGCTAGTCCTGATTGTAAAATTTTTTTCGAAAAAAATCCTTCAAACCCTAACTTTTTTCTTCATCAATAACCTCAAAAGGGTCACAAAAATTATCACTCAACTAAATTTACTCCAGTTCCAAGTTAGCACGTTCAGTTAGGGATTTTTAGCCTAGGATTAGAGACTTAGGTATAAGTAGAACAGTTTAGGTAGGAAATAGGTGAAGTTTGCATATGGACTTTTTTAGGTGGTGGTTATGTTAATTGGTGGTATATAGCCCAACCCTTCCTCGCTCCTTCCAAAACCCCCTTCCCAAAATCCAAGCCTTCCAACCGTTCCAAACCTAAAAGAGCCTCCAGGAATAAACTAAGAGAACGTAAAAGAACGTAAGTGCCTAAAGGCCTCAAAGCGGTGACCTTGGCCTAAATTTTATTAGAATAGGACCAGTGGGCGGGCGGGAGCTGAGAGGGATTAAGGGCGAAGAAGGGTGGAATGAAGTCTAGGCGTAGTTTTGAGCTATTTTGGAGAAGAAAGGAGGAGAGTGAAAGGCGGGGTTAGGAGGGGATGGTGGGTGGGTAAGGGTGGAAATAGGGGGTGGAGGCGTTGGGATAGAGGTTTTAGGGCTGCTTTGGGCGTAGTTAGGGAAGATTATGATAGCACTTGTTAAATTTTGAAATTGGCAGAATGAACTTCTGGTAATAATTTTGTAGAAAATTAAGCATGTTTGGATCTATTAAGTTATTTATCTATTTGATTATTAATTTCATAGCTTTTTAGCTTTATCAGGCTACTGTTCCTTTATTAACAGAAAATCTAGGTATTATAGCATCTTTAAGAAAGAAAAAAATAATACTATATATTTTGTGATACCTTTAAATTAACCCAAACAGCGTAAACTTTCTTCTTTAAACTCTTTTTCCCATTCCCAATACAAAACTCAAACCAACACTTACAAACTGAGGGTAAGAAATTTTAGCTTAAGGTGAAATCTTAGGAATTTTAAGGATTTTGACTGGGAGAGATTGAGGCGGAAGGGTTTAGGGGGTAGTGGAGAATGGGGGTTTTGGGGGGTTGGGTGGGATAGAGGTTTAGGATGGGGTTGGGTGGTGGGTTTTGGGGGGATGAAGGGGTGAAGTTGAGTTTGAATTAGGTTCTTTGGTTATTTAAGGAAGAGTGATTTTATTTTTATGGGGTGATTTTTTTTGGTTGATGGGGTAGAGATTTTCTTGGGACTGTACTGTAGAATAAAGGAGTCTTGTTAAATTTGAGAGTGATTGACCCTTTTGGACATCATGAAAGCATCATTTAGAAATATTTTTGGCTTTTTGTCATGATAGTCACAGCTAAATAGTACTAACTAATAAATCAGCGTTTGATATAGGATTCGTCTATAGTTAAAAATTGAATAGCTGTATTTTAATTAACATAAGCAAGTATAGCCTAATGAGATATCGGTAGCTCTATCTCTTCCATAGTTTCCAAGTGGAGTCTCGTCAATCATGATAGAAAGCCTTCTTGTTAAATCAAAATCAATGAATAATTTGACAAAGGACTTTTAGAAATGGAAAGATTTTATTAATTAGAGAGAACTTAGCTCTTTAAAATATTAGCATTATGCATTATAAGTAGCCTTCTTGTAGGGATCAAAGGGGGTTAGTTTGAAATTATGTCTCTTGAAGAGAAATCTAAACTACCACCATCAACCTTATTCAAAAATCAATTCCTCAAACTGTTGATTTCTCTTTAAATCGTAGAAAAATGGTCCGAATACACTACATAGACAGTTTTCTATAAATCTTCAAGGTGTATGCTTTCTAAATGCTATGACATCTTTCTCATTCTTCTATCTATCCTACAATTACTTTTTTTAGCATCCCAATTTCCCTCCTTACTCCTAATTTGGCATTATTAATAAAACTAAGAATCAATTACTTTACAAATCTCTCTGATTATTATTTTTTTAGTGATACCCATAATTAACTAATTTGCCAGAACTAACATTATTTTAGCTTACTCAAGTCCTTCCAAAATCTAGAGGTGCTTAAGAATGATATCGGTAAAGATTTTAGAAGTAATCATGTAGAGGAACAAAGGACTAAGGAGAGCACTCTAAATGTAACCACAGACCAAAAAGGTAACTGATCGCACCATTTTCGAATAATTCTTATTCTAAAGTATAATTAAACTGGTTCTTACATTGCTATAGATTTCCTCAACACAATGTCCAAGTACAGACAACCAGTGTGATCTTTATAGACGGCTAAAGAATAAGAGAAGTGGAAGCGTTCAAGAGCAAAGACCTATTAATCTTAATAAAAGCCAAGTAAATACAGTCATTTTACCTCAATAGAATGTTTTACTTTTGAAAGAACTAGATAAGAGCAAAACTAATGATGCTCTTAAACCTTCGAAATTGATTCCTTCAAAAGGAAATAAATTTAAGATTATAAAGGTAAGTCAGCACAAAGTAACCCTTTGGTTAGGTTAAGAGAAAATCAGTGATAGGAATAAACTCAAAATTTAAGAACAAACCCTTGACAAAGCTTACAAAGATAAATAAAAAGAGCATATCGAGCCCTTCTGGAAGTTTTTCTGACAGAGAAGAATCTGATAAATAAAACCAATGCTAAAATTAAGTGAGTGGATCTTCAAGCTTAGGTCTAACAGATGACATAGAGAGGGTAGGATACCTACTTTGAGTACAAACCAAATGACAATGAGCCCTCAAGAATTTCTTAATATACCGAATCTTAATCAGGAAAAGTAAGTAATTGAGATCTTATATATGAATAGTCCAAAGACAACAATTAATGAAAGCTCTTCAAGGACAAATTATCTTCATCAAAACTCATTTATCTCCAATAACTCCTCAAGGAATTCAAGTTCTATTATCTTTCGTAGAAAAAGTAACCGGATTTCAAAAATAAACAAGCAAAATCTTAAAATTGATACTGGCTGAAGCAAAAGTGCTACTTTAAAGTATAACTTAAGTTCTAATCAGTTGAATGTCTCTGATATAAATAAAGACAATTATCAGTCTTCAAGGTATCTTCCCTCTAAAAGAATATAGAATTAAGAACCCTCCAAAGTCCCCACTTAAACCAGACTTGAAGCCTATCAAGAAACCTAAGAACACTTGTGTGGTCAATGACATCTTTTATTCGATGCTAAGAGTAGATGACTTGATCTCTTGCCAGCCAGCTTCTTCTGAAACACACAACCAGATGACTGCAATTAAGTCTTACCTCAAGCAATATTCAGATATCTTTAAAAGAACTCAGAAAGGGCTACTCCAGATGGAAATTAAAGAAGCAGACAACCTCTCACAGCTTACTCTATTTTTTAACAAGCTAAGAAAGGAGCTAGATTTTAAAGAAGAATTATTGAAGATTAAGTACAAAAGTATGGTGAACTCTTATGAAACATCACTTCGCATGGACTTAGAGTTCCTTGAAAAGAAATGCAAGCACTTATGAGAAGTAATAGACTCTTACTCTCAGCAATCCAAAACTCCTACGAAGACTGAGTAAGGAGACATCTTTATACTTTAGGCCCAATCTTTCAGAAGATTTCATGAATAATTACAACCTAGAGTCAATCTTATTAAAAGAAAAAGCAGGGACTTATAAATTACTTAACAAAAAATTCACTATCCATACTGAGACTTCCTTCCAGTGTCCAACTGTAGAGTGTGACTTCAGAAGAGTGAAAAGTTTCATTGATGAGATCGATGTGATTTCTCACTCAACAACTAAGATTCCTGATTTAAAAAGGGATACTTTGGATAGCTTTAATAAGGAAGAAAATAGTAGCAAAGGTAAACCCTCATGCCTAATGTTTAGGATCAGATACTGGCCGCAAAACCCATTGTAGTGTCAGACTTGAAGTAGGGATGTTAGAGGAAAATGAAAATTCAGAAATTTCTTCAGAGAGTAAGTCAACTAAAATTTTGACCAAACTAAATGTTTAGGTGGAAATAGAAGCGTGGATATCACCCCAAGTCAGAGGAAACATTAGTGACCAGTTAATTTTGGAATAAAGAAGGTCTGAATAGCTAATTATTGCTAATTACCTTTTCTCCTAGAAAAATCTAAATTCCTATTCTTTCTTTAATAAATACTCATTTAACAATAAAAGAACCATGATAAAATACTTAATATTTTACTTTTATATTAGTTAAAATAGCTAGCGATTCTGTTTGAACCAAGTGGCCCAACAATGAGTTTGACGAAATAGGATGAACGAATAATTTACTAATATTCTAAAAAAGAGTTTTGAACTTCTCCTGAAATTAAGCCAGGAGCAGCTGCCAAGCATCGAAAGAGTACCAGAAAGAGGCAGAAGAGAATATTAGGGGATTAGCCAGAGGTGGTGAGGTCTAACCTTCTAATTATGTAAGGCAGATCAAAAGATGAAAAGAAATGGATTTCTAGGGAATAAAAGAGCAGATGGAAGGAGCGATAGGAAAAAATTCATGGACCAAATATCTCATAGTCCAAATCAGAAGGAAAGTAGAAAATATAATTTCCAACTGGAATACAAGGGGTGGAAAGAAAAGATCTAAAGGCCTCAAAAGTGCAAATATTTGATCTACAATTGTCAGAATGAAAAGGCAATTAGAACTCTTTGTGTTAGCTCAAGCAGGCTAAAAGCAGCTTTCAAGAAGTTAGCTTTTGGTCAAGAATTACCAAGCATCTGCAAAACTGCTGAGGAGTTGTGATTCTAGAGATGTAATTTGAGCAGTCAACCAAAAAGAAGAATTTTATCAGATTTATTTGACAGTATGAGTTATGAAACAGTGAAAAATCATAACTAATTGGAATATTCTCTATAATATTCTGGTTCTTTGTATTTTGCACTGTAATTAGAAAATTGATTGTTACAATTTGAATGTTCTTTAGTGTTCATACAAGCCTAGCAATATTTCAGCTAGAATTAAAGAAACTATAAAGAACTTGATGAGATCACCACATCCTTTATCCTATTTTCTCAACTTCTTTTATTAACCATACGCCACCAGTAGGAGTGATTAGAATTTTTATGCTTATAAATTTACATGCTGAGTATCATTTCATGAATCTTTTATTAGTACCTTCGATTCTATTTCACCACATCTAGATACTATCATCAGAAAGTTCCTTGCCTTCTTTAGTATCAGAAGTTCGAAAACTTCGTTTTGATTAGCCCTCTTCTAACTCTAGGTCGGACTAAAAGTCAAGTAGAACTACCCCATCCTAAATTTTAACGAATTCTGTGCTGAAATTTCCTCTAAAATACAGTGCCTTTTAACTAATTAAATATTTTAATTTCAACCAGCCGAGGTTCGTCTGGGGTTTTGGGGTTTTGGGGTTTTGGGGTTTTGGGG